TCCACCTGCCCACCACCAAGGAGCTGGCCAAGCGCCAGCGCCTGCCGTCGGTGGAGAACAGGCCCAAGATCGCTGCTTTCCTCCCCGCACGGCAGCTCTGGAAGTGGTTTGGGAAACCCACTCAGGTAAACGGAGCCTCTCCCACCCCTCCATAGTGCTCTGCTCTGGTGTTTCTCCTTGTGGTGCCTCTTACCTGTGTGCTTTCCTTTCTCTGCTGGCATGGTGTGTCTCTGGCCAAGGTCTCCAGTTTGCAAGGAGATTGGGGTTGGCCTTCGCTGTGTCTGGGGGAGTCATCCCACACAGCGTGTCCTTCTGCCCTTTTTCCCATGGGAATGATGCCTGTGGACACCGTGGCTCTGCCAACAGCGAAGGGTGGGATGCAGGACAGGGCGAGCGGTGGCGGGTGGGGGGAACCTGGTCAATCCCTGGCTGCTGCTCACCTGTGTGATCCTCTCTTGGCAGAGACGAGGGATGAAAGGGAAGGCCAGGAAGCTCTTCTACAAGGCCATCGTTCGGGGCAAGGAGATAATCCGCATCGGAGACTGCGCCGTCTTCCTCTCCGCCGGCCGCCCCAACCTGCCCTACATCGGCCGCATCCAGAGCATGTGGGAGTCGTGGGGGAACAACATGGTGGTCCGAGTCAAATGGTTTTATCACCCAGAAGAAACCAACCCTGGGAAGAAACTCAACGAAGGCAAGGTAGGCTGGTCTCCTTTGCCAAGAGAGCTGCAAAGCTGCTTGTTCCCTTTTTTTTTCTGCAAGGATGAGGGAAACACCCATGGCCCAGTGTGTTACTGGTACTGTCATGGGAGTGGCCCCATCTTTTCATGTTGGGGGGGCTGCCTGTGGTGTGGACAGACCTGGTGTGTACCCCTTGAGCAGGGAAAGGGTGGAGTTTATGGTAGCAGTAAATAAAGACTTTTGTGTCGGTCCAAAAAGAGCTGCATCAAGTCTTTTTACAGTATAAAAATGACTGGACTGGTGCTTGGAAACACTAGATTTTGCTCCTGTGTGGAGTGTGTTTACAGTAGGCTCTTGGTGTTTATTACCAGTAGCTGTGGATGGGGGCTGAGGTTGTGAAGGCACATGTGGTGGGCAGGATGTTACAGCATGGAAAAACAACTCATTCACCTGCTTTTCTTTTCTCTTTTCTCTTCCTCTTGGGCACAGCGCTGGGATCAGAAATCGGGCAGGAGTCTGTCCACAGCTTTGCAGGCATCCAACCAGAGGAAGGACTTTATGGAGGTTGGTGAGGTTGGGGGAGGGCTGGGAGGGGACCTGTAACAAATGCTGCTGTGACAGTGCCCCCTGAGCATCTCTGGCTCTTGCTTTTTGCCTCAGCTGCTGAGTCTGCAGCACCCAGCACTTTGGATGGGTGTTTGTGGGAGGATGGGAGTAGCTGGGGGTGCTGGGTGTTCCACCACCCCTGGGCCCGTGCAGATTCCCAGTGTCCCCCAGTGGGGAGTTCTGCCCGGGTGTGAGCACGAGCCCTGGGCAATTGTGATGGGCTTTTTTCCTGCATATTGAATATGATGAAGCTGTAAATCCTGTGAAATCTAATTGCTCCTTTTCTTTCTGTGTCTTTTCCTTCCGTTCCTGTAATGCAGCGAGCCCTCTACCAGTCCTCTCACGTGGATGAAAACGATGTCCAGACCATCTCCCACAAGTGTCTTGTTGTTGGTCTGGATCAGTACGAGCAGATGCTAAAGACGAAGAAATACCAGGACAGTGAGGACCTCTACTACCTTGCAGGGACCTATGAGCCCACTACGGGCATGATCTTCAACACCGACGGGGTCCCTGTCATCTGCTGACTGCCCAGGGGACACGTGCCACCCCCTGGGAAGGGACGGGACAAACCTGAGGACGTGCCTGTTCAGACGACATGATTGTTTCTTTCAATGCTCATGACTTCTGTGTCACACTACAGACAGGAGAGCGCGAGAGACACAAGGAGGAAGGAGAGGGCTGAAGAAGGGGCTTGGGGGAGCAGTTACAGGACTTGAGGAAGATGCCGTTGGGTGATGGTGGCGTTTGAAGCCCAAGGCTCTTCTGGAAGTGGCGTTAAGTAAGGGGACACTTGGCCAACTTCTCCCTTCCTCCTTTTGGTCCAGGAAAGCACATGGGTCTCATGATCATTTCACCAGCGGGACCCCCCCAGCAGGAGGGATCCCTTTTGTGTCATTTGCCCCCATCAGTAACTCGGAAGCTGCCTGTACGTGGAAGGACACCCTCGAGCCTTCTGCGTACGCTCCTCTCCGTCCTTATATTCCCTTTCCTGCTTAGTTTCGCATGACCCTTTAGGAAGGACAGGGTGAAAAGAGAAAGGAGATGAGTCTCTCTCGGCGCCTCGTCTCGATCCTCTCAGCGCCTTTTTGCGGTTCCTTTTCCCTGGAGGCCCTTGGCCGGTGGTGTGGAGCGTGGCAGAGCTGGCCCCAGCACAGAGATGGCAGAAGAGGTCCTTCAAGCTGGGAGAAGCCGGGTGGAAGACGAGCCAACATCCAGTCTGAACCCACCTTCCCCTTCCCTCTGCATCCCGCCTGCCCTGGAAACCAAGTGCGTGGCGAGGGGGTGACACTTGGTGAACAAAGAACTCGTCTTGGAGCGTGCAGTGAAGGAGGGCAGGAAGTGATTGGGAAAAGCTGCTGCTGGGTGCTTGGAGCAGAGGAGACCACAGGCCGTTGGATTGTCCATCCCTCGCCCAGCTTTACCCCCACCATGCCTCACCTGAGCAGAGACGTGGAGTTGCTGGGACGCCCTTGTGCCTCATTTGAAGGGAACGGGGAGAAGAGCGTGAAGCCCGGCCGTGCCTGCCTGCGGCGTTTCCACAGCCAGAGCCCCACTGCCACCTTGGGCTTGGGGACGGGGAGGTCCATCCATCTTGCTCCATCCAGTTGGCCAACCTCCCCAACGGCTCCCGGAGAGCCGCCACCACCATCGCCTCCTCCCTCCCACACCGGAGCCGTGGCATCGCCGCTGCCGCACCAGGGGTGCACCCGGCCGGAGGGATGGGGAGTCCGGAGGAGAACCACGCAACGATGCAACATCCTTGCACTTAAAACAAACAAACAAACAAAAAAAAATAAACTCCAAGAGACGCACTGATCTTTGCAACTACCGACTCGCACTACAGATCGCTAGGACGCGGAGCCCAGGCTCCGGTGGGGACGCTCAAAACAAGGACAGATTTGGGAAACTATCCACGCTGGTACCAGCTGTGTACCAGAGACTGGAGGCCGGGGTGCAGGGGGAAGGGGGGGGACACCCCTGTGAACCCCTCCCCTCGTCCTTTTCAACGAACCACACACGGTGCTGAGCTCGTACCATCTCCGCCCCGGGCCACCGGCGCCTCGGATAGTCAACGGTTCTAGCCTGTACAGTTTTAATGTACCAAAAGACTCTTTAGCCCTCCTGTATTATAAGTCTTTAAATGGATTCAACTTTTTAATTATAAATATAAATATAAATATATATATATAAATATAAACTTTTTAAAACTGTGAAAAAAAAAATTATGAAATTATAAAAAAAAAAAAGGAAAAAAAAAAAAACAAAACCAACGACAGAAATGAACACAGTCTGACGTTTAGAATATTATTTTTTATTTCCTGTTGGATTGTGATTGTAAATGATCTGGGAACAGGCACACCCCCCCCACGCTCAAAGTGTACTGTACTTCTAGAAGCAAATTGTGTGAGCATATTTTAAAGAGCGAGAGAGAGAGCGCGCGAGAGAGATTTTATGCTAATGTTAAATAGAAAGCACTTAAAACCCACTGCCTTCTATGGAACACAAGGATATTTCAGACAATCGAGAGGAAAGGAGAGCCAGGTTTTTTGTCTTTTTTTTTTGTTTTGTTTTGTTTTGTTTATGTTTTGTTTAAAACAATTTTTTTGGCATTCTGTTTGTTGGAGAACTCCGTGTGATCTTTTTTCATAAAAAAAAAAAAAAATAATTGAAAAAAAAAAAAAAAAAA